GTTTCAGGAACAAAAGGTAAACTGCAGTGTAATGTACTGTTTTTAAATGTTGTTAAAAACTGAACGTCAGTCGAGACCTTCCAAAGTTTGAGATGAAGCTTTTCAAAAGTACGAAACAAATCATATCCATACCGCTGTGTCAGAGTACTTACAACTTAAATCTGTTCTTTCTAAACTTCCAACTGAATACGAAAACTCGCTCAATGCTAACGTTGTTTTTTATAGTTCGAATATTGTGAACTAACTCTTTTTTTTTTTGAGATTTTAACACTTATGATAAAATTTACAGAAATTCCGAAACGTCCGTATTAAAGATGTTTTATGGTTATTGCCGTGTTTTTAATGTTTACCGAGTCTTTACACAACGAAACTTGAATGTATTGTTACATGATTGTTTTATGCCAAACATCAGTCAACAAGAAACTTCGGAATTGTTTTTACTTTAACTTTTATCGTTTGATTTGTAAATTGAAATACGAATTTCGCTCTTCACTCAGACCTGTTTTTTCATATAAACGTGATATTTTTTTTTTCTTTTCGGGTAATATAATTTATAAAGTAGAAAATAAAATTTCCAGGTTAGTGAGATGTAATCAGAGACATAAAAATTCCACTTGAAAGTGACAGTAACCATATCAGAGCGATACCAATCACAGCTGCAATAGACGTTTGGAAACCTAATTTCTGAGGAGCAGCACCACCTGGTACCTGGCCGGGATCTTTCTTTCATTGATCATAAATAATGTACATCATAAATGTAGTGTTTTTTTTACAATGAAAATAACGACATTGGCAGCAGTGACACCAACGATGAAATAAATCATATGAACTCATTACATTCTCGTTTATGAAGGGTCGGGTGTGGCTTAGGGATTAGAGTGCCCATGATGTGAATCTTGGAATTAACGGTTATCATTCCGTTGCTGAAAAAAAAAAAACGCGTTTTGCACTTTGTGGCTGTTGGTACAATATAAGGTTGCACTTTGTGGCTGTTGGTGCAACATAAGGTTGCACTTTGTGGCTGTTGGTGCAACATAAGGTTGCACTTTGTGGCTGTTGGTGCAACATAAGTTTGCACTTTGGCTGTTGGTGCAACATAACTTTGCACTTTGTGGCTGTTGGTGCAATATAAGGTTGCACTTTGTGGCTGTTGGTGCAACATAAGTTTGCACTTTGTGGCTGTTGGTGCAATATAAGGTTGCACTTTGTGGCTGTTGGTGCAATATAAGGTTGCACTTTGGGGCTGTAGGTACAATATAGGTTTGCACTTTGGGGCTGTTGATGTAATATACGCGTGAAGGTCAAATCAAACTAATCAGTCAAATCAGAATAGACCAAGAATTGGCGGTGGTTGCTGTTAAATAGCCGCATTTCCTATAATCTATCAATTCAAAATTAGGGAGGGCTGTATGCAGACAGCCCTTTGTGTAGGTTCTCACAAAAATTCTGGAAAAAATAACAATTAATTGACATTAAGGGAAATATTTCTTTCATACTGTACTTTAGATACACGCTCAACGTCGCCACTAGATGTCACCCCTACCTTCCAAATCATCACATTTTAGATACACGCTTCATGAGAACATGTTTATAGGTATAATGCGTTTGTTTATTCTATAAGAAAACCAAAAAAATTTTCCCTTTGCGATTATCATCTCAACATGTTATATATGCTCAACGTCGCCACTAGATGTCACCCTATCTTCCAAATCATCACATTTTCTACAACTGAGGTGGTGAGGCTTAAGTTAGAGTATCATGCCTTAATAATTGTTTGTTTGTAGTTAAGCACAAAGCTACACAAAGGGCTATCTGTGCTCTGCCCACCACGGGTATCGAAATCCGGTTTCTAGTGTTGTAAATCCGCAGACATGCTGCTGTGCCACTGGAAGGCGCCTTAATAATACTCCGATGTATTCAAGCTTTGGCTTATCTCATTTCATACTTTGCACCTAGTAACCACAAAATTGCAATAAATGCGTCACGATAAATTATTTATTGTTCATTAGTACTTTAATGACGTTTCTGTCTTATCTGGCACAATAATCGTTTTTGTAGTGCACTTATGGCTTCAAAATGTAGAACAAGTTTTTGCGGCAATGGAACGCGAACTTGGAACCCTCATATAATAAATTTGGGCACAACATCACACTTGAACCATTAATTCTGAATATTAAGATGTAACAGTAAAATTATTTAATCTGAAAATTCCATAACTGACGTGTAATTAATGAAAAACGTCCATGTAAACATTAATGAAACAATCCCCTCTGAAGATCAGTTAGTGTTATTCGTATAAGGTAGTTATCTAAAGTGACAAAGATTTAGTTAAGCCTTATCTTGCTATGAGGATACCGGATTCATATCGTCGGTTGTGTTTTGGCTTCTTCGAAACGGGTTTATAGCTTGAAACCTAATTGCCCTCGTTAGATCTGACAAAGATTTAGTTAAGCCTTATCTTGCTATGAGGATACCGGATTCATATCGTCGGTTTGTTTTGGCTTCTTATAAAAAATGGAATTTATAGCTTGAAACTTAATTTTGCCCTCGTTAGATTTGGATGTGGTATACATAGTAATAACTATGTGAAACCAATAACCACTAAAATAGCAATGTTTGTTTGTTGTTGTTGTTAATCATTGAAACTACACAATTGGCTATCTGTGCTGTGCTCATCACGGGTATCGAAACCCGATTTTTAACTTTGTAAGCACGCAGACTTACTGCTGAGTCACTGGGAGGGGGAGTGACAATGTACTCTTGTATTGTCAAGAAGTTGAACTCTTTTTTTTTTTTCTAGTATGTTTTTGATAATGTTCGGATTTTTCTTTCATTTCACAGCAATATATTTAACCCTAAATGGGTCGGACATAGCCATTTGATTGGTATGTCGAGCTGCGGATTTAATAGTCCGGGGTTCGAGACGTGATGTTCCTCAGCCCGCTCCCACTTTCAGCTGTTGACACATTATTGAAGGTATAAACTCTCCAGTTTTTATAAGTTTGAGGACTGTCATGATGCGCGAAACTCAGGTCCAGAACCATTAGTAACCTAAAGCCACAGTTCGTTTGCATAATAAAATGTGATATGTCCGTCTTTCTCTCTCCGTTAAATATACATCTAATAATCATCAAGTGAAAAAAAAAACTTCGTTCTTCTAGTTTTGTGTTTTCGTTGATACTTAAATTATTTTATAAAAATTAAAGAAGTAATCCGAATTTCAGAGTGGACTCAGATTTCTGGCAAACATAAAGTATTTATTTCTAAGACGTTTACTCAGAATGTAACCAGTTCAGTAGACGAGAAATAAAAAAAAATCGTTAATTTTTGGTTGAGATAATTAATATTGCTTTGTGGAGAACAATTACGTCTTGAATAAAGCTTTGGTTCTTTTTATTACAACGTTTTTAGAACACCTGTTGAATTACGAATCCTTACTGATCACTTTCTATTCACAGTGTATTAACATCTGAAAGATGAAGATTTCTTATGACTAAGAGTTTCGGGACGTCTGAATCACTCTTCTTCCTCACCTTCTCCTCCCACTTTCTCTTCTTTCTTCTTCCCAAAAGCCCATTCTGGTCGTTCTGACTGTGAGAAAGGACGAAGACAACAAAACCGTTTGAAAAAGTTTTGAAGTGATCTTTTATGTTCGTGACAGAAAAACAAACTACTGTTCAAACATCCACCCGAACTACTCAAGAAATTAAAAAAACTATTTAATATTCATGTCCAACTAATCGGTTTTAAGATCAGTTAAAAACTATTTTAAAGAAAGGTTAATAGCCCTGAGAATATTCGTTTTTGAAGACACAGAGAAAATGCTAAATTGTGTTAATCTTTCTTCGAGTTGTTACATTTAAGCCAATTATCATTTTAAGAACAACTAAATCAATATAAGCCAATTATCATTTTAATAACAACTAAATCAATATAAGCCAATTATCATTTTAATAACAACTAAATCAATATAAGCCAATTATCATTTTAATAACAACTAAATCAATATAAGCCAATTATCATTTTAATAACAACTAAATCAATATAAGCCAATTATCATTTTAATAACAACTAAATCAATATAAGCCAATTATAATTTTAAGAACAATTAAATCATTAGACGCTGGAAATACTATTTATCACAGATCAACTTTCAAGGTAACAGATAACGAATAACAAAGGAAGGATAAACAGGCCTTTTTTTGACTACAAACATTGACAACTGAGAACGACAATAAAACAAAGAGTCGTTCTTACAGAAGAAAACATAAATATACACACTTAACTTGTTTAAATAGCTAGAAACTACGGATGGCCATATAAAGAGGTTTTAAGAGCTTATAACTGTCGTCTCTTTATTTTTAAACTACCTTGAAATCAACTATTTATCGCATACCTCTATATATATAAGGTAACACACTCGTGACTCCGGCCATAAAACGATGATAGGAAAAACGAATAAAAGTAACCCTCGTCTCCCCAGGAAAGGATGTCACTGGAAAAATTCTCTCTCTAAACCACGTAGGATAGTGACGAGGAATAATTAAAACCTGTATACCGATAAACTTGATTGTGACACACAGGTTTTTGGGTGTAAATCATACAAATTTATGGATTATTATCAATGACAGCTTAAGAAGCTAACGAGAGTTACAATAATAACTGATTTTTTTTTTCCTTTGATAATTATTTATCTGTATACCGCCTTAAGAACCTGCCCGAGTTGTTTTCCTAGTGCAAAGCTGGAGAATGAATTATCAACATTCTGTCCACTGCAGTGCTATAAACATATCAAGTGTTGTGTAAAAACACGTTTGTTGCTATAGCATTACATCTTTGTTGTCCGTGGTAACCAACGCCTCCTCTTATACCCCAGTCTTTGTTAAGACAATTTGTTTACGTTTAACAGAAAACAAAAGTGGAAAAATATTTCTGTATAAACTAGAAACATAGCAGTTACGTTTAAAAATATCCGTCTTTTTAAAGATAATATCACTTTTTCCAGATCATTCTACTGAAGAGAGTGTGATCTAATTCGATTATTTTATTTTAGGGAAGTGATTTAAATAGTTCCTAAACTTCTTGACTGTAAATAAGAATCCGAACCTATACAAAATGTCGTTCATACGAAGCTTATATAGTCCTGTAGAAATTCACGGCTCTAATAGTCAGGTTTCACCGAACCTATACAAAATGTCGTTCATACGAAGCTTATATAGTCCTGTAGAAATTCACGGCTCTAATAGTCAGGTTTCACGTGATCCTACTTATTTGTTATCTTTTCATTTCATTGCACTGGTTATATATATTGGTGACAGATTTTCTTGTAGGCAGATTTTGTTAA